AGATGATAGATCAATGTATTTGTAACATTAATTCATATATGTATTACCAGACCATAAGTGCAGAAGGAACAGCTAGTCTCAGAAAAGGGAGGATATCGCGTAGAGCCTCCTTAGAGAAACCGGTCCAAGTCAGTGAACAAGAAGGCGAAAACTTAACGTAACAGAACAAGAGAATGACATTAAGCCAATACGAAATGGAGTTGGCAAGAGCAGCTCCTTGAAACCCTAAACCAGATTTGAAAACCAAGACCCAACAAAGGAGAACATGAAGAGAAGTGGTGACTCCAGAGCAGAAAACCACAGGAAACACATTGTTTTGGGCCTGCAAAAACCTGTTAAAGCATTGAAGGAGACCGTACGCGAAGATGCTTGGGATCATGAATTTTGCGTAGGAGCCAGCTAGTGTAGCAATGGATTTGTTTTGTCCAAAGAAGACGAGAAGATGCTCTGTGTTAGCCCATATGATGGAGAGAGGAATAGAAGCTAGTGTAAGAACAAACATTGCTCTTTGCATTTGTATCCCTAACATTCCGTACTTCTTTGCTCCGTAAGCTTGGCCACAAAGTGTATCTAAGGCACTTGCTGTTCCCATCTGTTGATGACGAAAATGGAAAAAGGAAAAAAAAAAAAAGTGAATCAGTGTTGTTTCTTGCTTCACAAGTAAACGTTCAACGCAATCTGTAACTTTCAATTAAATACTAAAATTTGGATTTTGTTGACATCATTCACTGATTCTAGGGAAAATTATTTAATTATACCTTCACTTTTACAAACAAACTTTATTATTTATTATTGAATTTGGTGTTTTCCACGATTGTCCGCAAAATGACAAAATGTTTTTATTTTTAAATTTCTTATCGTTAAATCTGTACGAGTGGCAGAAAAGATGCTTACGCAACTTGGATATTCAAACAAGGTGGCCTGCTAAGTGATAATTACTATAATTTCACTTTAGAGATATATTAAAGGTTTTAAGATAAGTAAAAAATATCACCAATTAATCACCCAATCAAGTTTCACATTCAGAACTTTTATGCCTAATTTTTTTTTTCGAATTGATTTTATGCCTAATTTCCTATGTCAGATTTAGAAGAAGATTAAGATACATGGTTAAGAAAATATATAGGGAGGGATATGAGATATATGTAATGCATGTATAGATAGAGAGAGTGAGAAAAACTGACGAGGAAGCTGAAACCGGTGACGGAGGCGAAAGAGGTGGCGATAGAGGCGGCGGAGAGAGGAAGAGAGCCAAGATGACCGACGAACATGACGGAGATAACTTGTAGACAAAACTGAAGAAGGCTCACGCCGATGAGTGGACCCGAAAGCCATAGCTGCTTCTTCACTTCTTCCTTGACACTACTTTTCTCTCCGATCAAAGGCCAAGACAATTCATCCTGTCCTCTTTCTCTATCGTCCCTCATTTTTTTGAGAAATAGCAAAGATATGACAAAGTATCTTCCTGTCTTTAAGGGCGTTGTGTTTGGTCCGGTCTCTCTCTGTCTGTCCCTATTGATGTGTGATGTGTGGTGTGTGGTGTGTAGGTAGAGATGTTAATATGGGCTAACCCACCTTAGACCCACCCCATTTAAATCCATCACATTTAACCCCATTTAAGTTTACACTCCATTTATCCTCCCCATTTAAACCCATTTAAATTTCCTTTACCCATTTAAATCCATATAACATTGGTTTATTCTAAACAATATAATATAATCAATAATTATTTTAATTGATTATTTAAAATTTACAGATTATTTCATTAAATATAATTGAGAAATAATGATATACTGTTTTTATTATTTTGTTGAAGAATAATATAGTTTTTAAAAAAACGAAATTTTGCAGTTTTGGCGGAAAAACGCGGGTTTACATTTTGGCGAGAAAACATCATTTTATAGTATGATATTTTTGGTTATAAAACAAATTTTACGATTATGGCGGGAAAATACGGATTTACGGTTTTGGCGGGAAACGCCATTTTCCGCCAAAATCGCAAAATTGCGTTTTATCACCAAAAAATATTTCCCATAAAATAGCGTTTTCCCGCCAAAACCGTAAATCCGCGTTTTCCCGCCAAAACCGTAAACCCGCATTTTCCCGCAAAAACCGCAAATCCGCGTTTTTCCGGCCAAAACCGTAAACCCACGTTTTTCCGCCAAAACCGTAAACTAGCGTTTTCCCGGTAAAACCGTAAACTAGCGTTTTCCCGGTAAAACCTAAACCCGTGTTTTCCCGCCATAATCACAAAATTGCGATTTATAGCAAAAAAATATCATACCATATAATGACGTTTTTCCGCCAAAATCGTAAATCCGCGTTTTCCCGCCAAAATCTCATAATCATGTTATAGGAGACGTGGTTTTACGTTTTGTTTTATATATTTAAATCAAAAATTGAATTTAACTAGAAATGTAGAATATTAGTTTTAAATATATTTAATATTTTGCTCTTTTATTTTAGTTATTAAGATATTAACATTTTTAATAACTAATATAAAATGAAACATAAATGGGCTTAAATGGGTACTCATTTATTTGTGTGAAACCCCATTTAATAAATGGGTTTAATTGGGGTAACCCATTTAACATTTTTCCCTAAATGGGCTTAAATGGGTTAATTTTTTTTGTACATATCCATTTATTAAATGGGGGTTCCATGCCCAAGTTAACATCCCTATATGTAGGGATTAGTATTTTTTGTTTTGTCAACTTTATAAATAGAATTATTCATGAGTGAATCATTACTTGGCTAATAACGAAAAATCAAATGGATTTTATTCCTTTTAAAACATTGACTGGCAGTCGTATACAAGAGCGGGTTGGATCCATAAAACTTTGGCAAATCTTTTGTTAATAAAATTTTAAAATATATATAAACTTGATAAATTTTGTTTTATTCGGTTGGGTTTGTTTGGTATACACTAAAAATTGCAAAAAAAAAACAATCATTTTAATTTTATAAAGAAATGTCAGCTGTGTTCTATAACTTCAAAGGTAATCTTACGTCGACGTTGGTATGTAGTATTCAGTTCCCTCATAAATGGTTTTTTTTCTTCCAGATTTTCGACGGGGCATTGGTAAAATGTTACGCATCTCAGAAACAATGTGTCCAATATGTTCAAGAAGTTAGAATATGTTCCCATATAGATCGATCTGATTGTGCACCAAATGGTAACTGGTAAGAGAATACATTCTTCATTTAAACACAAGCTTAGACGTTGTTGAAACTCTAGGCATAGATTTTAACACTGATTCTATCACCTCTCTCTCTTCAAGAATGAAGGCTGATATTTGAATATGTTCCCATATAAATGTGACTGTCACTTTCTTTAAACACTTTGCATTAGCAAAAATGTATCTTATAAGCTGTGTCTCTTCTTCGTTTCCTCTATATCCATGCCACAAAAACTCCTCTAAATGAGCCGACAAGCATCTGGGAACAAAACTTGGTTGGGACCATGACGTTGGGAGATTTCCAGGTCGATATCCACTTATCTGGATGCAAGTACATAAAAATTTATGAGGTAGAATTAAAGATTAATCAGTTTATACAAAAAGGATATTGCGTTGTTAATTATACTTGTTACTTACAGAAGTGATAGCAAGCCATCTTAGTTTAGGAGAGTTGTTGAGAATTAGTGGAAGTATATCCAACCAGATACGGCCACATAGCACTAACTTTTCAAGTCGAGAGAAGGTAAAGCCACTAAAATCCAGAGCCTTCAATGACTAAACCAACAAACAATATAAAGCAATGTGACCAAACTACAACCAAGAAGAAAATAAAAATAAAAAGAATAAAAAGTAAAGGGAGAGATAGAGAAAGCTAGAGGTCGAAATCAATACCATTGGATCTTCCAAAGGTAACACAAGAAACGTGACCAAGGAAATAGCTTTGAGAAACTTGTCATCTGTATGACATACAACGTCGATATGTGGCCATTCAAGGCGAATCTTATGCATCTTCGGGAAACGGTATTTCCGGTTATCACTGATGGCGAGGCCCACTCTCGATCGAGCACGAACTGAGCAACTTGATATAAGCCTCTCGAGAGAATCTTCATCTTTGAACACCACATGAAAAAGGCGCAATATATTGAGTGACGGGAGGCAAACCGAAGAAGGAACATCCACTATAATCTTGTCCAAAATAGTCAATTCCACAAGCGTTTTGCATGTGTAAAGACTCTTAGGCAAGCTGCTAGGCTCTGCGGTCTAGTGGAGCTCTAACTCTAGCTCGCACACAAAGCGATCAACTGCCTTTGCAACTAATTTCCCAACATCTACATCAATAGGACGTTTTTCACCGAGTTGGATACACAAAGTTTCTAACAAAGGTGCCTTGTGAAGTTCCAAAAACTTGTCAAGAAACTTCCAAACGCTTTCGCATTCATCACCACTGTCTTTGTACACGAGTTTAGGCATCAACGTCCAGATATAACGCCATCGTTTTGACAGAATCATTGTCGCAACTGCATCTTTGATCGGTACAAGCAACAAAATCTGGATGAGTAAATCGTCGGGCAACAAACTGATCTCGTCTCTAGAAGAAACAACCTCTTCATCAATTCTTTGACAACGTTTGGCCTTTAGTGATGACATACCTATCTAAGAGTTTGTGATAAAAGATTACAAACATAGGTAAGCAGAGACGAGAAGGAGCAAGTCGAACCCTAAAAACTTTAAGATGATCGAGAACCCTAGATATATTCATAATTTCTCATTAATATGAGAATAAGTGAATCTTTATCATCTTAAAAAGAAAAGAAAAAACTAACCAACCAACTTTGGGCCAATGAAATCGGCCCAGTATATATCTGGACCCAATCCCTGATTTTGGACCCATCTTTACCAATGTAGAGTGTAGACTAATGTAGTTAAGATATTCATATTAGAAGGGCCTATTTATAAAATACAAGAACTGTTACCAAAGCATAAACCCTAAAAGCCCTGAAATCTTATATATAAACCAACTCACAGAGGCTCTAATAAATCCGCCACCACCGCACATCTCTTTCCTTTGCCTTCGTTTTTCTCGGTTCTCGTCTTTCGTTCTTCACTTTTAGACTAGCAAATATGAGACCACCACTTACAGGTAAGAACCCTAGTTAAAGTTTATGTCTTTCTTGTTCTGTCTGCCTCTAGAGTATAACCCTGTCCGAATCAAATCTGATTTCGTACCATCACGGTTTTTGTAGTTTGAATTGGTTTTTAGGGTTTTTATTTTTGACCCTTTTGTTTCTTCACTGTTTCAATCACTTTCAAAGATAAAAGTAGAGATTTTTAATTACGCTCTGTTCTTACGTTTAGTTGATTTCCGTTTATTGGTATTGGTATAATCAGGAGGACGTGGTGGTGGAGGATTCAGGGGAGGAAGAGATGGTGGTGGAAGAGGTTTTGGAGGTGGAAGAAGCTTTGGAGGAGGGCGTGGTGACAGAGGACGTGGTGGTCCTCGCGGAAGAGGCCGTGGTGCTCCTCGAGGAAGAGGAGGACCAGGTCGTGGAGGAATGAAAGGAGGAAGCAAAGTGCTTGTGGAGCCTCACAGACACGCAGGAGTGTTTATTGCTAAGGGTAAAGAAGATGCTCTTGTCACTAAGAATTTGGTTCCTGGTGAAGCTGTTTACAATGAAAAGAGGATCTCTGTTCAGGTATGAAGTTTGAGGATTGTTTACAGTTATAATTATAAAAATTGAATTTTGTTTTTGTTTCTTATAGAATAGCTACTTGAATTTTGCAGAATGAAGATGGAACTAAGATTGAATACAGAGTTTGGAATCCTTTTAGATCTAAGTTAGCCGCTGCAATTCTTGGTGGTGTGGATAACATTTGGATTGTAAGTTCATCTATACACATAACACATTGACTCTGTTTTGTTTCTTTGTTTTGAAAGACATGTGCTTGAATTGGTTGTTTGCTAATACTTTGTAGAAACCTGGTGCTAAAGTTCTTTACTTGGGTGCTGCTTCTGGAACCACTGTCTCTCATGTTTCTGACCTTGTTGGCCCTGTAAGTGAACCTTATTACCACTCCATGATGTTTTATTCTGATAATTAGTTCTCAGGTCGTTTTCTGTTCTTTGTTTGTGACTTATCTTTGCTCTATTGCTTTATGAATTGCAGGAGGGATGTGTTTATGCTGTTGAGTTTTCTCATAGAAGTGGTAGAGATTTGGTGAACATGGCAAAGAAGAGAACTAATGTTATTCCAATCATCGAAGATGCTAGACACCCTGCTAAGTACAGAATGCTTGTGGGCATGGTTGATGTCATATTCTCTGATGTTGCTCAGCCAGATCAGGTTTGGTTCTTTATTTCTTACAATGAAAGTTTAAAGTCGCCTTTTTTTACTTTTATATTCACAAAAGTTACGTCCGATTGCATTGCATCTTTTGCTTTTCAAAAATCAGTACATTGAAATCGGCAGATGATGGTATTTCTTACTATGAAATGTTGAAATGTTTGAAGTCGTTTTTCTTTTACAATTATCTTCAAAAGTTATTTTATTGCATTGCATCTTTTGCTTTAAAAAAATCAATACATTGAAATCGGCAGATGATGATTTTACTTGGATTCCCCTTCAGAACATTATGGGTGTTGCAAACTCCAAGCTTCTGATGCTATTTTGAATATTTTTACTTTTTTTTTTTTGGTTTGTGTTCTGTCATGCCACCAAATTTGGTTGCTCTTAACATGCAAATCTGTTTTAATCTCAAAGTTTTATATTTCTCTTCATTTTATATATGTTTTCGTTTTGAAAGAAGTCTTTTCGGTTTTTACTCTCTCTACGAAATCCATTTTTCTTCCGGTTTTCAATTGATTTTTTGAAGTTTTACTTTATGATTGAAAGTTAAGAGACTCAGTAGCAGTATTGAGTGAGCTTGCAGAGATTGTTCCAAGAAGTCTGCAATGAAACGTTTAATGTTTATCTTTACTCATCTTTGGTTCTCTGTTTATGTTTTTTAATTGAAACCCATGTATTTACCTAACTCTTGAAGGCAAGAATCTTGGGCCTGAATGCCTCATTTTTCCTCAAAACTGGTGGACACTTTGTCATCTCAATCAAGGTCAGTGCTCTTATCCTCAATCTAATTCTCCTCGCAACACCAAATCAAATTCAAGAATGTCTCTTCATTTATGAATCAATTTGTATTTCCGTAGCTAAATAAACATGTTTCCTCTGTTCAGGCCAACTGTATCGACTCTACGGTTGCAGCAGAAGCAGTGTTCCAGAGTGAGGTGAAGAAGCTGCAACTGGAGCAGTTTAAGCCAGCAGAACAGGTGACTCTGGAGCCGTTTGAGCGTGACCATGCCTGTGTTGTTGGTGGTTACCGCATGCCCAAGAAACAAAAGGCTACAGCCTCATAGAGGAACTGTGTATTAAGACTTATATTCTCGGTTTTTGTTTTTATCTCGTTTCCATTAGGTTATTAAAACACAAACTATCTCCGAGTACCTAAGTCCAAACAAGCAAACAATCTGGCTAAGCATTATTCACATAAGTCTCAATATACAAATCATAGTCGGCTTCTTCCAATATTGGATCAAAGTTATAGTCGCTGCCTTCAGTTGTTAGCTCATCAGAGTTCTAGTCGTCGCCTTCTTTCAGTACTGTCAATTGGTGTGGCAAATGAAAAATGATAGTTGCATAACCAAACGGGTCATCAGAGGTTGAATCATTGGAGAGTCTCAAATCTTTAAAACGCTTCTCTAGATTCCCGACAAGGTTAAGGTTGAAACATTGGCGCAAATCGAGGTGTTCCATGTGCGGACAACTGTCAAGAATGGCGTTTAAGCCTGTTTTGGTTAGTGTTTCCCCACAAAGCTGGAGATGGCGTAGTTTAGGCATGCTTTCTGCAATTGCTATGGCATTAACATCATCAGTAGAACTTAAGTAAAAGAGGTGGTTTAGCTTCAATGACTTCAGATTTGGACAAGACAGCCCTGCAAGTTTCAAAGACTCTCCTGACAATAAAATTCCTGATACCTCAAGCTCTTCAAGCATCGGAAGTTTCACAACTGCTTGAACAAATCCCTCCTCTGTTATTTCAGAGCACATTGCGAGCCTAAGGCTTTTAAGATTACTTGACCTACAAGTAAAAACATAATAATCTTAGGTTAGAGAAGAAAAAAATCCTTAATCTGACCAAACACATATCTTATCACTTTAACCAACGTCAATACTCTAAAAAACACTCGGAGACTTGCATGAAAAGCAATCAAAACTAGAATAAGAGAAGAACCTCTCGGCGATGTAGGTAAGGAGAGAATCACTCCCGAAGTCTCCAAAGTTGATCTCAAGCAAGCCACCCTGGCTACGGTCAACGGCATGACGACATATGGCCTCAACATCGTTCACCATTGGCTTGAAGTGACTCACGTTTCCCATGTCGATTTTACGCCACATTGATGGGTCTTTACAAACATGTCGCCACGATCTACACACTTTCTGAGCGTTGTCCAGTATCTCAGTCACGCGAAGATGTAGCAGAATCGAACACATCAAATCCGTCGGAAGATCCGCCCAGTTTCTTGGCTCTTCGTCTTTCATTAGCAATGGCTCGGAAGTAGAAGATGGTGAATCCATTTCTGAGGATCAAAATGTCAAATCTGTGAAATATATAAGAAAGTCAAGTAGGTTTAGGCCTTTGATTGTTTGTAGATTCTATGTAGCTTTCTGGTTTTTGATTTTCCAAAAAAACTAAAGCCTTGAAAGGTAGTAGATTTTTAAAATGGTTTCTAATTTGCATAAGTAGTTTCCCTAAAAGTTAAGAAATCTAACATTTTAAATTTTTACTAATTATTGGAAGGAAAAAAAAAAACCAAAACCCAATTTTAGGAGTTTTTTTTCCCAACTTGCCGGGATTTTTTTCACTTTTGTTTTGTTTTGTTTTGCAAATAGATAAAATAGATGATCCTTTGGATTTTAAAAACTTTTACTTTTAAAAAGAGTCTATTGATTAAAAAAAAAACTTTTACTTATTTTACTGGTTTCAAGTTCAACAGCCAAAATTTTACCAATCGCTCAAAAAAACTAAAAACTAAAATCCATACCACATTTTTTTTGGAAACGAAAAGGGACACCAAATTACCATTCAAGTTTTTGAAAATAAAATTAGAATCAACACTAATTATCAAAAAACAAACACTAGAAAACCAAAAACCACTTTAAAAACAAAGAAATATTCATTTGGTAGTTTTTGAAGTAGTTTTTTTTTTTTTGAGTGTAAACTAAACCATTCCGATTTGGTTCAACTTCGATTTTGAAAATTTAGTATAAAAATTTTAAACCATTTTATTTATTAAATTTTTTTCTTCTGATTTAGACCTTGAATAGCTGCAGATTTTAAAGCCGCTTTTGGTTTTTGATTTTGCAAAGAACAAATAATTACCCATTCACCATTCTGCAAAATATTTTGCCAAAAACAAATAAACTAAAAACTAGGAAACATTCGTGGCCGATGAGTTTTTGGTTTGGTTAAGTAAATTCGCACAGCCGTATTTCGGCTTCAATTTCCAATTTGGTCTCATAGACTCGTAGCATAACGTATATAAGAAAAAGATTAAAAAAACAAGAAAGAGTTAATGCAACATCATACTGATTGGGGTTAACTATTCATACGTGAGCCAATTTTGCATTAGGCCACCTAAACGTTTGTGTGATTTCCTTGCCAGAATTGAGTCCCTGATTTGTCTGTCCAGTTTCTTGAAAATTTGATGAGGAGTTGATGAGATGTTTGTGTGGAGTCTATAGTTTCTTTCACAATATTCTGACTACACAAGCCCTTTTGCATATTCAAAGGCATGGATTCCTTGCATCACAAGAATCTGATGGCTATTCGATAAGATCATAATCTTTCCAACAAGAAGTAAAAATTAAAAAATGTGTAACAAAAATTGCTATATGTAATATTATATTGATAAGTAGAAAATTTCCAAATTTATCCGAAAAATAAATAGAACCTTATACAACCTCCAACTCCAATTCCAATAGATTAACATTCTTAAACCCTAAGAGCGTGTCGATAAAAAAAACCAAACACGAAAGCTGCAACATCGATCGACATCAATCTTCTCTTAGTAGATCTCGTTCTCGCTCTATAGCAAATATGAGACCTCCCAAAACAGGTAAGAACCCTAAAGCCTTTTTATTTCTTACTTGTGTCTCTGTTCGACCTAAAGTATAGCGTTGTGTTAACTCCAAATTAGTTTTCTCACAATATCTCTAGTTGAATTGCTTGTTACGTAAACTGGTTTGAGTCTTCACTACTTCAATCAAAGTTTAATGGGAGATTTAATAATACTTTCTTCTGATTAGTTATTTTCGGTTTTATCTATATGATTATGCTCAGGACGTGGTGGTGGTGGTAGTGGCGGTGGAAGAGGTTTAGCCAGAGGCGGTGGAGTAAGTTCCACAAGAGGCCGCGAAAGTGGCCGTGGAAGAGGGCCAGGAAGAGTAAAAGGTCGTGAAAGTGAATCCGGCAGTGGAATTAAGGGAGGAAGCAAAGTGTTAGTGACACCACACAGGCACGCAGGAGTGTTTGTTGCCAAAAGTAAAGCAGATGCTCTTGTCACCAAGAACTTAGTTCCTGGTGAAATCATTTACAATGAGAAGAGAATCTTTGTTCAGAATGAAGACCGATCTACAGTTGAATACAGAGTTTGGACCCTCATAGATCTAAGTTAGCTGATGCTATTACCACTGGTGTTGATAACATATTGATCGTAAGTCCCATAACTTAAAGTAACAATCTCTTTTTTTTTTCTGCTGTTATTGAAACTAATAAATACTTGTTTCTTGAAATTGTAGAAACCTGGTGTTAAAGTTCTTTACCTTGGTGCTTCTTCTGGATACACTGTATCTCATGTCTCTGACATTGTTGGTCCAGTAAGTGAACCCTAAACCCTAACCTTTTAGATTGAGTTTTTGTTACTTATATTTGCTTTTCTGATTGATAGGAGGGATGTGTTTACGCTGTTGAGCATTCTGATATATGTGGTAAAGTTTTGATGAACATGGCGGAGAAGAGAACTAATGTTATACCTATCATTGAAGATGCTAGAGATCCTGCCAAGTACAGAATGCTTGTGGGCATGGTTGATGTCATATTCTCTGATGTTGCTCAGCCAGATCAAGCTAAGATATTAAGTCTCAATGCTTCTTATTTCCTCAAATCTGGTGGTCACTTTATGATCTCTATAAAGGTTTGTTATAACAAAAGTTTTGATAACCATTGATTCAAATCAAAATCATTCTCTTTTTAGTGTGCATTGTTTGGTTAACTCTAATATACTTGTTTCAGGCGAATTCTATAGACTCAACAATTGCAGCAGAAACAGTGTATCAGATGGAAGTGGAGAAGCTGCAAATGGAAGAGTTGAGACCAACAGAGATATTGCATCTTGACTCTTGTGAGGAAAAGCATGCTTGTGTTTTTGGTGGATATCGCTTGCCTAGGAAGCAAAAAGCTGATTCTGCTGTTTAATTAGGAATCTAATCTCTATACTTAGTTTGTGATTATTATAAGATTTTTCATATACATTCATGACGCTTTATTTATAAAAAAAAAGTTATTTGGTTTTCACTGATTTGTCTTCTAACTAGTATGAGTTTTAAGAATTGGAGTTTTGCTAGAAACAAGTACATTTCGAATTGGATTTTGGTTTGTTTTTAAGAACTTGGAACTAACTTTGACGACGTCACATTGAATTATCTTGTTCATTGTGATTTGAGATTTTCAATGCGACTTTAAAAGTTTGTTTCTAATCATATGATTTTGTGGACAGAAAATGGAAATCTTTAGTTTTCTTTAGTTACACTTACACCATATTTGATTACTATAGGGGATGTGAGGATAACAAAAAGAAAATATTTGGTTGAAGAAAACTATAGAATGAGCCATCTAATCTCTTCACGATTTATTTATTGTTTTTTTTTAATCACATTGTTCAAATTAATGTGTTCCAAAATATATATTTGAACAATTTGATATTTATATTTTTTAGTTTTGCCTTTAAAATTTTGAAAACTTTTGTAATGAACTTTCATCCTTGAAAAAAATAAGACTGAATTTGAAATAAATCATGTATGGAATAAGGGGAAAAATAAAAGATAGAACAAAATGTCAGAAGTGGGATTTGAACCCACGCCCTCTTACGAGGACCAGAACTTGAGTCTGGCGCCTTAGACCACTCGGCCACCCTGACTTTTTTGATTAAATGCTAAACTTAAGGTAAAAGTACATAAATTCTTGTTTCGATTCATTTCCACAAAATTGAAACACATATTTTCTCTGTTTAAAAAGTAATAAATATAAGTAGCCAAACAAAAATATTATCTAAGTAAATATATAGAAAATTAAATCCAATTATTATGGTTCAGAAAAGTCTTAAGTAATTTTTCGTTAATGAGAATGTGGTGTACCTCATAGAACATAGCTAGCTACTCTGTAATAAGTTTTCTGATGTAGCAATGAAAATTAAAGAACACAAATGGTTGGACACGTGGAAAACAAATTGCAAAAGAAAGAAATTAAACAAGAGATATCGAATGAAATGCGTGGATTTCGTGTGGCTGTGGTAAGCTTTTCTATCAACTCCGTCATCTAGAAGCGTGTGTGGCACTGTCAAAGTAATTTTTTTCATTTATAACCTCTTTCTTTTTTGTTTGCCCAAAAAAAAAAAAAAAAAAAAAAACCTCTTTTCTTTTTTGAAAAAAAAAATAAAAATAAATAAACCACATCCTAAATACACCAAAAATAAAACGTAATCACAATGTGAAGCAGCGATTCTTCACTTTTATGCATCCATGATTTCCAAAGGCAGTACAAATAATATTTTCAATTCCTTAATCATCCAAATAAACCACACATTAAGTTGTTAGAATTATTGTTGAATTGTTGTAAAAAAAAATTGTTGAATGGAGACTACAGTGCAAAACGCACTACACGAAACTAGCTTCACATTCAGGCCCATAATCTATCTATTCCCCTTACAAAAAGTACAATTATATTCTTATATTTCTCTAGTAATCATATCATTTAGCCATTATTGTTGTTAAATATTTCTCTTTCGTGTAAAGAAATAATAACTTTCAACTTCATAGAAACAAAGTCCAAACCATTTACGTTCGAACTTGGGTTTATATATGGAACAAAAATTTATCGGCATGTGTGGTTTGCTCTTAATTTTGGGTGATAGGCCAAAAATTTACATGCTTTAATTGTTGCTCGCATAATGATATATTTGTCTACATATCTTAACCAACCAATATTAAGTTAACATCATAACATGCATGAAGAAGATTACGTTATACACAAATACAACTAATAAAGCTGGAACTTTAAAACCAAAAAAAAAAAAAAAGCTGGAACTTCGTTATAACATAAAAAATGGTTGGAACTCCGTATTTGTGTTAGCAACTCCTTATTATATATGGTGGAGAAGAGTCGAGTTAGGCAAGGCACAAGTAGGACACGTGGTGATCAAACTAAAGTAGTCAAGATTTAAAATATAAAATTAAGGTGAAAAGTATTATGGATGATATAGTTGCTAAGCGAATTTTATACTCATTAGGTTTTTGCCTTCACGCAACCTACCAAGAAATGTCAAAAAAACTTTATGTTGTGGTTTTATTTTATACGAGTTATTCAGAATTCTAGGAAAGCTTGGGATAAATGGTTAAAGTTAGAACATTAAGCACTTTGATCCAAAAAAAAAAAAGAACATTAATTAAGCACAAACCTATATGTATATTTTATCATTGCAGACAAGAGTTAAATGTAAATATGCAAAACAGAATTTGCATTGTTAATACTTAATAGAATCAAAGCTGACGAATTCTCTTCTTTTTTTGGTCGTCACCAATTCTCGACCGTTATGTTCCCTAGCTATTGTCAATATAACACGCACAAATTCAATGTTTTACTGTTTCAACTCAGCGAAATTAAAGAGTTGTTAAAAAAAATGTTGAAACGTTTGGATTAATGAAAGCTAAAAGGTTAACGACAAATTAAAAATCTATATTAAATATTCTTTCCGGGTTGTTTGTTTTTTTTACTATTTAATTTTTTTTAAGAGAAAAAAAAACATCTTCTCTATCCAACAACGATGTAATATAAAAATGTTTAATTTACATATTTCAGTAAATTACATAATTATTTTTTACCAGTAATAAATTTTTGTATCTATATTTCATTAGTTTTTCGAATTATTTATTTAGGCTGTATCATGTTTAAATGCAATAAAACTATGTCTTAATCTAAATTCAATATACCTGTAGAGTATTATCAGCCGGATCACATTATGAATTATATGTTGAAAAATATTAGGATCAACAATATCATATTTGCGTTTAAAACCAAAAATCTAATTTTTTGTAGATTTAATATTTGTCTGGAAGACCTAAATAAATCTATAAGAAATTGATTGAAATGTCCAAATCAATAGCATCTCGACTATGTTAAATGTACGTCAAAATATGTACATCCAATTAAGTACATCAATAAATTACATCTTCAGACATATAAGTTTGTGGTTCAAACCTTTTCTTAGAAAGTGATGAACAAACTCATAACTCTTAGTCCCCCAATAAATTATATTTTCAATCCTTGTATCTAAATATTTGCTTTAAATATTAAATAAGCAGCTTTTGGATTTTCGATAGGGCCAACAAGTTGTTTAAATGAGTTTGTGGGACCCCTTCTCATAGGCAATTTGAAACCTAATTTTATTTTATTTTTCATCTATTTTCTTCTGCGTTATACAGACCTTGGTAAAGTAATGGAAGGTCAAGGTAATGGCTATTATAAAACCAAATAACCAATTATTGTTTCTTTTTGTTAAAAGAACGAAAAAACGAGAGCTTTATAAAACTGGAGTTAGCTTAGAAAGTTAGAATATGAGTTAATGAGTATTATTATATATAATATAGTGCCGGCGATCCTTTTTTTTCAAAGGTCAACGTGATTATGACCATATAAGAACATAATTTTCGTGCTAATGGCTATTAAAAAATAATTCTTGCAACTCGAATAAGATAAATCTATGCCATAAATTGACCAATATAACACACAATTTAATACTTTTTCGTTATCAAGATTTAATACGGTTTTCCAAATAAAACATGTTCTCTTTTGCTGTTTTGAATTGAGATTAACTTATTTTGTTTTTCTCACTTTTTGAATATATATTGACAAACTTTATTTGAATGATTGCATGTATTATGTATATAACTCCATTTCTCAATACTGTATATATCATTTAATCACTCTACAAGAAAAAGTTAGAGAAAAAATAATTTACTTACTACAATTTTTTTTTTTGTCGTCTACTTTACTTACTACAATTTAAAAGTTGCATGGTGACAGTGTTTTATGTTTTATCGGAAGAGGTAAAAAAAGAAGGGTACGAAACGGAAACATCGCTCTTGCATGTGAAAAATCCGATGCTACTTTGAAACCCAAGTGGCATGTTTTCTTATTTTCTCCTTTTTTTTTAGGGCCTTCTTTTAAGTTCAATGGATATGCCGAAATTGAGTTCTTCTTTTTTTTTTGTGTTTGTCACGGAGATTTCCTAAAGGGTGATTTAAGTGTATAACCAAATCTGATAAATAAATTAAGAATATAGCACCTTAATTTTGAAAACAAAATACATAACCATCATACATTGTAAAATGACAAAACTACCCATATGTGTAGTACACGTCTGATAGGTGCTGGAAAAGGGGAATATTCATTTTCTTATTTAATTTTTTTTTTGTTTGAACTTAGAACAAAAAAACGTTTACCCCCTCATATTTGTTGTCAGAAAAGTTCTTAAAAATAAATTAATTAAAATTTTCAGTTCTATTAGAAAAAGTTTAGATTTTTTTCTGATTATATCATAGGTTGAATTTTTCAAAACAGACATAAACATATTACGTGGTGAATAGTCTTTGTAACAAAAAACATATGTTATACTATATAGGATCACACAAAATATATGTTGTACTATACTATTTTTTATAAATTATATTTAAATCAACTTAAACTTAAAAATACTAAACCCTAAATCCAACCGTCTAAACCCAAACCCAAAACATATTTTTTAAATTGATGATATCAATAAATTTTAAAATTGAAAATAATGAATTTATTTAGAAAAATAGAATAGAACATTGTAGTGTTCTATTTAGTATGAAGGTCATGGAGCGGGCCGAGACAATGGGTTAATTCGTCTACCAAATCAAATCGTTTTAATGGTAGCTCCGCAATGGCTGTGACTTCTACATCTACACAAAGTGGCAATCGGATAAAATTTTACAACATCGGAATCGGACGCAACATCGGAATAGGACGATCGAACCTTTACCGATGATTACATCATCATCTCCTTAAGGAGGAGGACTTATAGACTATTATGTTGGTGTCGTTGTTGACTGTTTTTGGGCGATGACGGAGAGAGATATGGCGTCGTGAAATAAGTTGCAGGAAAAGAAAAAAAATAAGAATAGGAAGAGAAAGAGATGATAGTTTGAGGTTAAAGACATAGTGTTACGTGGTGTATCACAACAAGGGTAAATATGTATATAATACATAATGTATGCCAAATATCATAGCCCAATTTTTTAATGGTTATTTGTTGAATTATTAAATTTTTGATGGTTATAGGCTCAAATTTTCCTTTCCTAAACCACATGTATTACACTAGTAGGTAGAGATATATTATTAATTGTTACGTTGTGCTAGAGTTAGATTTGTTCAATCTTATTTTATAAACTCGTTTCATCTAATTTTTCATATTATTTCGTGGTTGGCAAAAGAAAAAAATGATTACTATATTTATTAACTATCATTATTTCATAAATAGAATTGAATTGAAGAATCATAGTTTAATACAATACTAAATTAACTATCATGCTGGAAAATATACTTAATATGATAGTATTTATAGTCTATGAATGGTGACATAGGAAAATACATTGAAGTGTGGTCTATCTACATTATCCGTATTTTGTAACCATTCATAATTTTTTTGAAAATTTTGTGAAGGCGGTTCTTAATAGTGATGTGCGGTTCAATTGCAATGTAAATGTTTGTTTGTCATGTTTTTTGCCAAACAAATTAGGGCGGTGGAACAAAACATTTCGGTCGTCCAAAACTTAAATTTTTAAAAATTTAATAATTATTATACCACACAAAGTTATTATAGTCGTCTTTTAATTTTTGTTTCGCCAGATTAATATGCAGTAATCACATTTAATTCGTTTGATCAGTTTGAGTCTCATGTTTTGTACCGTCTATTCCATTGTACCATTCAGGTTTTTATTTTAATTTTTTATTATTTTAGATTTTAAAAGCTATTCAAAAATAAATCTAAAGTTATTAATTTAAACATAAGGATATAAATTACAAACTCACAGTTTGTTTTTTCTGTTTATATCTTTTGATAAAATTTGGAAAGCTCATAGTTGTTACATTATTGTTTCGAGAAATTGAATATTTCACGAATATTTTAAAGTAATAATTTATTAAATTGATCTAAATCAAATTTCATTAATTGTAAACACTGTAGAGAATATATGTTACCGTAATTGAGACTATTATTACCTGAATGTAATTAGAACAGTCATTGAGTAGTACTATTTATTAATTTCTTCATAATGGTTAGTATTAATCTAAACGTAAAATTTAATAACTCGAATTCAATTAAAGGTAACAAAAATATTATAGAATGTGTCCGAGTTAAAAAATATGGAAAAAAAGAAAAGTAAATTTTGCAAGTAAGTGACCGACACGTGGTCTACGATCCTAATTAGATTAGCCGGTAATCTTGTGAAGTAAAAAAAGAGAAAGGAAACAAAGGGTATCCACAAGACCAAAGTATTGAAAAGACCAAACTCAAACTCAGTTACAGACATACACACAGAATTTATAACGTAACAGACTGTGATCACAATCTAACGCCACAGATCTTTTCAATAACAAACACGTGTCACAATCATAGCTCATGGTTTCGTAAATGACAGAAAACATTCGGTTAGAAAACGGTGAAAACTATTGCCGTCGAAACAAGACAGATGCAGGTGTTTGGGAGTCCCAATAACAAATCCTCACCGTCTGATTATTTTTTAAGGTTATTAACGTAAATTTAAATATCTGATCGGACGGTTATTAAGTCTCTTACTCTTTCCTTTTATATTTCGTCACTATCACCTCAAAATGCCATAAGAGAAAGCAACTTCTTCTTTTCTCTCTCTCTCTCTACATTTCTCAGAGTATCTAAATCTCCCTCTTCTCTCTTTCCATATTATCATGCGTTTCATAATTTGGTAATTTTTAAAAATCTGATCTCTTTCTTTTATTTCTTTCTGAGCTTTTGAGAGAATAAAAAATGGAATCTGGTTTCTCCGGCGGCGGTGGTGGGTCGGATTTTTACGGTGGTGGTGGTGGTAGATATATACCTGGAGGTCCCGGAACTGTAATCAACGTTGGTAATAATAATCCTCAACCGACGTATAGAAACCAGATTCCTGGAATCTTCCTTGATCAGATCGGAAACAGAGTCGCCGCCGGTAATGGATTCGCCGGAAAACGTACTTTAGCAGATTTTCAAGCGGCTCAGCAATATCAACAGCAACAGCAACAGCAACAACAACAACCTTTTTATAATCAAGCAGCTCTCAACGCTTTTCTTTTAAGGTCCGTGAAGCCTAGAAATTATCAGAATTTTCAATCTCCGTCGCCGATGATCGATCTCACGTCGGTGAATGATATGAGTTTGTTTGGTGGTTCTGGTTCTTCTCAACGTTACGGTTCACCGGTTTTCAAGTCTCAGACGCAGCAGCAGCAATCGAATTTCGGTTTATTAGGTGGGATCCGAATGGGATACGGGTCAGGTAATAATAACAACATGACGTTAACCGGCGTTCCTTGTATTGAACCAGTTCAACAGAACCGGGTTCATGAATCGGAGAACATGTTGAATAGTTTAAGAGAGCTAGAGAAACAGCTTTTAGATGATGACGATGAGAGTGGTGGTGATGATGACGTGTCAGTTATCACAAATTCAAATTCCGATTGGATTCAAAATCTCGTGACTCCGAACCCGAACCCGGTTTTGTCTTTTTCACCGAGTTCTTCTTCTTCGTCTTCTTCGCCGTCTACAGCTTCGACGACGACATCGGTATGTTCAAGGCAAACGGTTATGGAAATCGCGACGGCGATCGCGGAAGGGAAAACGGAGATAGCGACGGAGATTTTGGCGCGTGTTTCTCAGTCGCCGAATGTTGAGAGGAATTCAGAGGAGAAGCTGGTTGAGTTCATGGTGACGGCGCTACGATCGCGGATTAATCCGGCTGAGAGTCTAGCTTCTCCGGCGACGGAATTATATGGGAAAGAGCATTTAATCTCGGCTCAATTGCTCAACGAGCTCTCTCCTTGTTTCAAACTCGGTTTCACGGCGGCGAATCTCGCCATTCTCAACGCCGCCGGTAACAACGACGAAGGGATGATGATGTTGCACGTTATCGATTTCGATATCGGAGAAGGTGGACAATACGTTAACCTTCTCCAAACACTCTCCACGCGCCGGAATGGTAAGAATCAGAATTCTCCGGTGGTTAAGATCACAGCCGTGACGAATAACGTCTACGGATTTTTAGTCGATGACGGTGGAGAAGAGAGGTTGAAAGCCGTCGGAGATCTGTTGAGCCAACTCGGTGATCGACTCGGTATCTCCGTGAGTTTCAACGTGGTGGCGAGTTTACGACTCGGTGATTTGAGTCGTGAATCGCTCGGATGTGATCCCGACGAGCCGGTGGCCGTGAACTTAGCTTTCAAGCTTTATCGTGTTCCCGACGAAAGCGTATGCACGGAGAATCCGAGAGACGAGCTTCTCCGGCGCGTGAAGGGACTTAAGCCGCGCGTGGTGACTTTAGTGGAACAAGAAATGAATTCTAATACGGCACCGTTTTTAGGGCGAGTGAGTGAGTCATGCGCGTGTTACGGTGCATTGCTTGACTCGGTCGAGTCGACCGTTCCTAGTTCGAATTCGGACCGTGTCAAAGTCGAGGAAGGAATTGGCCGAAAGCTAATAAACGCGGTGGCGTGTGAAGGAATCAATCGGATTGAGCGGTGCGAGGTGTTCGGGAAATGGCGAATGCGGATGAGCATGGCTGGGTTCGAGTTAATGCCATTGAGTGAGAAGATAGCTGATCGACTCAATAACGGAAACCTAGCTCACCCGGGCTTTACCGTTAAAGAAGATAACGGAGGTGTGTGCTTTGGTTGGATGGGACGGACACTCGCTGTCGCATCCGCTTGGCGTTAATTTCACACTCTCTTTTTTTTTTTTTTAAATTACCATATTATAATTATTGTTGTTATTAACTTTCGAGGATTATTCTGATATTATTATCATTGTGATTTTCCATTTCGGAAAGTGTATTAATATATATAAAAAAATGGAGGATCGGAGGAGAAAAAGGGAAGGTAGAGAGGGTAGGAAATAGGAATCTTATGTAACAATGAAAAAAAACTTTTATATTTTACTAATAATAAAAGAAAGAATGATTGGGTTTTGTGGTCTTAAGGTTCTTTAATATTCTATCTATTGTAATATATCTTACAATCACTAAGATATCACAGAATATATGCCTTAGAGCATGATTATAGGTGGTCTCTTAGAAATTAATCTTAGCAATATTTAAGTAATTTATTTGTAAAAGTGATTGTTAAGAGATAGTATTTTTGAGTTAAGATTTTTGTGTGATTAATGGTAGGCTCTTAACATGTGGTTCTTAGAAAAATAAATATTAATATAAAAATAAAATTTATAATTATAGAAAATTTAATAATTGTTGCAAATTAAAAAAATTAAAACATACATGAGATACAATTTATAACATAAATAACATAAAGCACAAATGTTTTAAACTTAATTTCTGGGATATTTTGTCCATATATGCTCGACCAAATCCTTATTCAATTGTTGATGCATAGCTCGATCATGAAGTCGATTTCTAGTGGACCATCATATCGACGAGATTTTGATAAAGAACAAGAGTTTAGAAAATATTGTTTTGTGGTAAAAAGAACAAGAGTTTAGAAAAGTAGAAAAGATTGTTTTGTGGTATAAAGAACAAGAGTCTTTGGTAAATCACTTGGAGTATAAAGAATAAGAGTTGAATTGTAAACGATTGTTGCATTCATGATCGAGCATGTTTAGAGGAGGAGATTCACATACATGTTTAGAGGAGGAGATTCACATACATAAAGACATAAAGAAAGAGTTAAACAAAGACATAAACATGAACATAAAGACATCAATGCATAAACTTTCAAAGACACAACACTTTAAGTTACATAAACCAAATGTTGCTCAAAGCCTTGTGGGAAGTCTTCCCAGCCCTTGGTTCTAGAAATGTAGCTCTTTGGACGGGTTGCTCTTCAAAAGATTATAAGAAAGCACAAGTCTTATTTTCCCTGCGGATTAAATCTGTGGTTAAGCATAATCAGAACAAGAGAAACTAAGTGTTGTTACCAGAAAATGGGCGCACATCTTCCTTAGTAAAGAAGGAGAAATTTTTGGACTCATCAATCATACCAAGATTCTGCAACAACAACAAAATAGTTAGGCTACTCCACTATCAGTATGATGCTTAACATATATTTTACAAGTACAAAAGGTAGTAGAAAAACTGAGGACCAACCATCAATATTGCAAGAGCTGTTTTCTCCATGTTCAATGTGTAGAGATGAAGAGACTTGATTCCAAGCCAACATCTTTTTACAAATCTCTGTCCCAAGGTGAAGACCATAGGCTTTCACAGCTTCTTCGTTATCCTTGATATGTAAATTTATCTTTCTTTCTTTTTTTTCACAGAAAGCACCGTAACTCAAGCAATTCCCTTTGAAAAGTAACTCAAACAAAACACTTTCTCTGAAACGAAGAAACCTTAGATACACTTAATTAAATCAATATGTCTTAAGCTTGCAAACGAACACCTTTATGGAAAGCTAGCTTTCACATCATCCGGATTATCACCTGTAACCAACAACAAACTGATAACATTTAGACTACATATCCCAATTTTCCAATCATTGAATTGTGAATGAAATCTCAAAGTCAGATTTGTGGCCTCTGAAACAAGAAGAGGATGATTCCAAAAATCCTTGTTTAACACTAGCACTAAAGCAACAAACTTTGAACTTGGAACTTAGATCACCGAGTCAATCGACGGAAAGATGAGATATTTACCGGGACTAGAGATCTTCCAATTGGCAATCGGAGTGGTGGTGACCGGTGGAGGCGACGGAGAATCTTCCACCAATGAACTTTCCGGTGATTTATGCTTATCGTCTAAGAACTTTTGGCTCATTGAATAGCAAAGCTCTAAAGCAGGTAAATTGTTGCAGCTTCTTCCGACTACTACCTTCGCCGGAGACAAATGATCTGCGGTTAGAGATCTCAACCCAGGCTTCGTTGATTCCAGATTCATCGACGTCTTCTTCCAAGGCATCGGAGATCTTGTGAACTTCTCTCCGATTTCTAAACCCCACCTCGCCGAATACATCAACCGAACACGCCGTCGCCACCGGAGTCGGTAGAGATGATGGGCCGACGGAAGAACGACGGCCGGAGTGGAGGAATCTCCGATATCAAACGATTTCCGGAAATCATCGGGATTTCTCCGATTTCTCCGTTTTCGCGAGAGAGAGAGAGAGAGAAAACGGAAAAAATAAAAACGCGTGTGGTTTTTTTCCATTAAATATTTCTCGGATTGCCCATTCACAAGACGCCACGTGGCTGTCTCTTAAGCCCACTTTCGTTCCTTAGCTAAGGAACGTTTGTTAGTGATAAAGGAGAAAATTGATTAAATGTAATCAATTTATTCCTAAGATTTTGCTAAGCTTTTGCTAACATACTCCCTATAATCATGCTCTTAAAAGATAGTAATATCTGAGGAAATTTTGTAATATAATAGAATCTCGCAGGTGTAGCATTAACAACTTGACAAATAATGTGATTCTTAGACATCATACCTTCTAATTATTATTTTATTAGACTATAACAAGCGAATTGTGTACTACATGGCAAATTGGCAATGGCAGTGTAACTTGTCATGCTGGATATGAAATTCTTGCTAATAAACATACATAATGTATTGTATATATGCGTGTTATAATTGGATTTAGTTTTAACGTGAGTGAATGTGTTGGTGTGAGAATATAATTAAACAATATATATTTTTTGGAAATTAGAGGAAACAAATATATGATATGGTGACTTTTATGGTCATGGACCTTATACTAGTTCAATTATTTAAACACTAATAAAAGTTGGCGTTGGATGGGTCCATCTCCAATGGCATTCGATGTTCTTGTTTTATATTATGCTTATAAAGTATCTATCCATCTTTACGCGAGACTTGTAAAATCCGTGTCCTTGGAATATTTTAAAAGCATATATCAAATATATATACAAACCTGGTCATTAGAAAAGATAATATTATTATTGTTTGGTGCAAGCTGTTTGCGGCTAAAATTATGCAAAATCTTTTTGAAAGACTCTCTCTTCTTAATCTCTTGTTGGTTAATTAAGATTCATTTCTTTCTAATATACGCAACTAATACCGTGTTGAGTGTTTGATTGGGTTGCTAGATTTTTTGCCAAGAAAAATCACATAGATAAAATTTGAGCAACCAATTCTTCATAGAGAAATTGGGATAAAATTTTGATCAAGTATGTAATATTACCAAATATATGGGTGATGATTTAGTGGTTAGTGAAAAGAGTTTGTTTTAGATTCAATTCTCTAAAGAGATGACGTATGTTGTGTCATGATATTATTAATCGCTTAATGCCTTAATCCCAACCTATGGAAATATATACAGATGTCGGTCCTAAATCTAGAAGTTATAAACAAAACAGTAAAATACTACTAAAGATGATGAATAATCCATGTTATGTATATATTAGTAAACATATTCACATACTATGAAATGAAGAAGGAAAAAACATTCATTAGTAATTCGTAATCAGAAATTAATCAGATCTAGGCCTTGAATGGCTGCAGTTTTTAGAGTAGTTTTTGGATTATGATTGTGCAAAAATCTAATAATTACACATTCATGATTCTACAAAAAATAGATTTCCTAAAAAATAGGGAAACCAGATTTTAGGAGATTATGGTTTTTCTTCATAGAATCCAAAAACCAAGTTTTGTGGGTTTTTCCAAACAATTTACGTCAATTTTTTTTTTAATTCTTTTTTATTAATATTAACTTAAAAACGTTTTAGAAAATTAATATTATGTAGAAAAACTAAAAACTAAACAAATTACCATTCAAGATTTTGCAAAAACTAAAATCTACACCAAAAATCAAAAACCAAAAACCAAAATAAAAAAATTAGAATCTAAAAACCAATTAAAAACTACCAAACATTCAGGGCCCTAATAAAAATCTAAAGGCGATAGTCAACTGCACCGTCAGTTTGTTATCTTGTATAACTCCAACCGAGTAAATCAAGTGTTAAATAAGTGTATTGTTTTATAATAAATGGACTAAAAAATACGAATTTCATTTATTCATTCCAAATGCCATGAGGTCTTAACACTTCCTGGTCCTATCTGAATTTGTGATGAAACCAACTTTCCCGATGACGACATTACATTATACATTCATATGAAATAAATGAAGACACAACTTTATATTCATTTAGTTAGAGAATTTTAATGAATTTTTTTTTTTTGAAATAAACTGAAAAGTTCATTTATGACAACTCACACATCTTATGCAGTTGTCGTTGGTATATCTTTCACTTGATCTGAAGTACCTAGCTGCAAGAAAAGAAAGTAACAAAAGGCTTACACACGCTTGCAATAAATGTAAGATGGTTAGAGAAATGCTTGTAGATATGGTTACTATGTAGCCATGTAGGGCCTACTGCATTATATTATTGGACCACAAAGTTAATATTTATAGGAAAATATTGCGACATATTTCAATATGATTTGGTGTGGTTCTTCTTCAAATCTATTATACATTTATATAGAGATTATTTGAAAAATAATTCTTTTTCTGGGATCAAGCATGAAGCAACATAATAGAAAAGATGGCTCTTGTTGAAAGGTAAATCAAGCATGAGTTTCTCTAGAGTTTTCTAATGGTTAGTTTTTAATAATAGTTTACAAAATAACTTATTTATATCAATGTGGATCGAAGTAATTTTCTTGAATCAAAGAGTAAATTATTGTTGCTTAAAAAGCTAGAAAAAAACAATTTTGTCTGTCTTTATGATAACAAGTTAACAACTAACAACAACAAGTACTAGATCAAAAAAGGATATACGTTTCTGTTAGAGTGTTACGGCATTAGTGGGCCATATTGGGCTTCCACTTTTCTTCTTCTAATTATCCTCGGGTGGGCTTCTTGATTCAAATTGGGTTCTCTTTTGTTTTGTTAGTTAGTGTGTCAAAATGGGACTATTTAGCCAACGAGACTTTAATGGTAACTAGATCCTGACCCGCACGTACGTGCGGGGTTTCATATTTTTTAAAAAGTTCTAACAAATTTTAATTCAATATAGATTATTTCGTTGTTTCTATGATATATATTTTAGTGTATTAGATCTAGATTCACACGTACGTGCAGAGATATTTTTATAGAAATTGTTATATAGATTTTAAAAATATAAAATATTTTGTTGTGTTAGTGAACTTTATAATAGTATAAATATTATAAAATTAGAATAATGAACGAAATTCAGTTGCGTTAGTGCATAGTTATATTTTAAGATCCGGACCTACACGTACGTGCGAAATTATTTTTAAGATAAAACTAAGATATAATTTAGTTGCAAAAGTTAAATGATGTTTCTTTTTTATTTTCTAAACTAATCAAAACATTTCTAGTAGTTTGATTACATGTGTTAAATAGGATATAGATTCGGTTTGAGTTTGGTTATTTCATGTATATTAGCTAGCCGTAACTATTTTAGAACGGGAAACCTATCCTGTCCTGTATCTGTCATAAATTCTTGGTCCCATAACCCGTCTCGTATACGTGAAATAAAAATATGACGGTCCAGTATCCGGCATAAATAGAATATGTGTAACTGAAAACGTACGTACATGGTTATGTATGTAAAAAAATTTATTTTATATAGTGCTCATAACCTGAACTCATACCAATTGAATATTTAGTTTGATTTTTAATTTTTGTTCCCCTCTCATCCCGTCTCGTAATTCCTATTCTCATTTCATTCCATTAAAATCATGTTCCAAATTCTTGTTTGCTTACTTTTAAATACCATACAATACGTACTGTGAGTTTTGCAGATTAATATATATGCTAAAGTTACAAATATATTTTAACAAATTTATTAATGTTTCTTTCCTTAGCTAAATTTTGAATATTCTTCTTTTTATTGTTTAATCATAATTAATTTGATTTTTGGACTATAAATAAAAATTTGAGATACATCTCTAAAAGGGATATGCTATTGCTGCATAATTTGTTTTGAATTCAAAATATATAATTAGTTTATATTATTTGAAAACTGTGTGCAATATATTAGGGATTTATTTAAGGAAGATCCGGTTGAAAAAAAAACGCAAAATAATTTAGAAATTAATATATACAATCTAATGTTAGATATTTATCAAACTTGCTCTAAACGAAGGCTATAATGATAATTACTTTAAATTTATTATTATTTGAGTTTGTTTCATCATAAATATAAATAGTTGTTAATATCTAATATCGTATTTTAGAAATTGTGAAATAAAATTTTGTTTTATATTTTAAAATTTGTGAAAATATTATAACAAAACTGAATCTTAAAATATTTGTATTTAATTTTCTTACGAAATTTTAAATTTAATCTTAAAGTCCGCCATTGATAAATCTTTTAAACGATAGTGTTTTTAATTTTGAATTAAAATGGTATATTTTTCTTTTTATTTTTGACATAGAATAGTCTATTACGATTGGTTTAGATAAAATCTTAGTTGGATATCAAATCTTAGTTTTTCAACTCTTATTGGTTAACAATTTTTTAAAAATTAATTTCAAATTTTCGTTTATAATTAATAAGAGAGAGAAAATTAGTTTTTTTTTTTGGAAATTAATAATTATTTAAAAGAATTATACTGTTTTTTATTTAAATATATTAATTTTGTGATTACTATTGTACCCTTAATGAAGTTATTTAAAAACACTAAAAACCAATGGCATTTTTTGTAATATTTTACTCTTCATAAGGTTATTTAATATTTAGTGATTCCCAATTAATAATATAGATTTTATTCTCATGCATCTGTACTAGTATTTTTGCAACACTTTGGTGATGGGTGGGTAAAAATACTTCTGGGTTAATCGGAAATCCGACCCGATTTTTAAATTCTTTCACAAAAAAATTTGTTGGGTCGGGTTATATTTAACCCAACTCATTCACCGGATATTTCATATTTAATAATTTAGATATTTAGAAGATTTGATTAAAATTTAGAATTATGATTCTCCTATCATCTTTGTTTGATTTGTTTTTAACTGTTTTGAATAATCATATAATACATAAAGTAAACAAAAAAAATCAATTTTTTTTCTACATATATTGTGATTCGAAATTTTAAAAACGGACATATATTATCCAATTGACGAAAATGTGTGTTCAACGTTCTACATCGATTAAAATATTTAGACAATGATTCAGAATCATATCATAAATAAGATCAACATTAATAAAATAAATGAGTTTTTTGGCCGGACGGGTTTGGCGTGACGGGTTTTTGAATCAACAATAATAAAAAGATTAAAATATCATTAATCCGCGCTTCAATACGGATTAAATCCTTTTTTTTTAATACCACCAATATTAGACATATTAAATCAGTCTCATTTAGAAAAGATTGTATAAAACCAAAAATTGTCCCGTGGTATAATGTTACTTAATAAAAATATTTATAAAATTTTAAAATATCATTAACATGCCGCTTTAATACATATTAAATCTTCAGTTTATTAAAATATAAATGTCTTAGAGAATGATATGATTTGTAAACTTTTATATATAATAAATAATCATTAAATTTTAAAATAAAAACAAATCACGGGACGGGTTAAGAAATTACGGAATGAGTTATATTTCGGAAAGGATTTATATGGCGGACGAATTTGAATCAATATTTATATACCGCTTTAATACGGGTTAAATCTTCAATTTATTAATAATTGTCTCGTAGACTCGTGGTATACCGTTTCTTAATAACAATTGTAAACTATAATATAAATAAATATGTTATAACGAGATACAATTTACAAAATATTTTTATACTAACTTTAAAATTAAATCATCCCGCGGTGTACTGCGGGTTAAAATCTAGTTTAATATATTTTTTATAATCGTGACATATATTAGTAAATGGTGACACTAGTTTGAGGAATTATTGAGGAAAACTTGTGGAAAACTTGAGGAATATTAATCACATCACTTAGTTATATAATATATTTTAAGCTTATAATGTTTTTATTATTATGTTTTCAACAAATTCTGAATAGTTTAATATTATAAATCATAATTTTCATAAGTTTTAGTTAGTTTGTGCGATGATTATAAGAACAATTAGTTATCTTTTCTTAAAAGTACAAGACATACATATTTCTATTGTTTATAAGCCTATTAATCGTGGTGGCTTATTTTTGACTTTAGGCTGTGCCTGATTCATTAACTAAAGATCAATGGTTGGAAGTCATGGGGTGTGTCAAAGACAAGGACAACATGGTATCTCTATTCACTTAATACAATATTTCGCAATAAAGTGCTGAAATAACAAAATTGGTCAACACTTCCTATCTTTTGCTTTGAAGATATTTGTTGGGCAGTCGTCGTTGCTGAGGTTGTGAGAGCTATGAGAGTCCTCGATAAGCATGATCCAATAGAAGTTCAGTACTCGTTTCAGGATGTAGTAGACTTCACGTGTCCTGAAAAACGCCGTCGGAAAAAACACCATTCAAGGAGACAGAGCAGCCACTATTGCTATCCGTTTTATGCTAAACAAGGTTTAGAGTACGTCCAACGGTCTGGGATCCAAAGAGAAGAAGATCGCCCTTTTCAGGTAATTATGAAGTATTCATTTGTATCTATTTTTTTTTTGGTTACTTTTAGATAATCTCAATCTATGTTAGGGTGAATAAAATAAAATTAAAAATATAACTTTGTTGTTGTCCTTATTTTTCTAATTGTATTTTAATTTTGTAAAAATAAAATTTTATGAGTTAAAATGAAAATGGTTTTTATCCGTGTTTTTCTAATTATATTTTAATTTTAAGAAATTGAAATATTATGGGTTAAAATGAATATGGTTTTTAACCTGAGGTGAGAGAGAGGGAGATTTTGAGATAAAACTGGAAAGTAAAAAAAAAACAGAGATGAAAATGACAAGAAATAGTATAGAGGTCCAACGGGCAAGAAAAATAAAAGAACGAGACTCTCACTATATTGGGCTTATAGGTCAACTTAATGGGCTTATCCACACAAGAGTTAACGAGGACTCTGAGAGTTTTCACAGTCATCGTCATCTCTAAACAAACTTCTGTGACCTTTAAGCAGCAAAAAGAAAAAACCAGAAAACTTCTCTGAAAATGGTGGCGTCTCTGAGACTCCCTTCTCTCACTTCCCTTCTATTTCCCGCCACCACTCGTTACCCAGCCTCTCTCCGGCGAACCGTATGTCTACGGAACAGACCTCTTTCCGGATTCGCGACGGCGCCGAGTGGTACTGCTTCGCCGGAGACCAAGTCGTCGGAGATTGACCGGCTTAGGTCAGACCGAGCCGTCACGCCTCGCTCACAGGACTTTAATGCTTGGTATCTGGATGTTATAGCTAGTGCTGAACTCGCGGATTATGGTCCGGTTCGTGGTACTATGGTTATTCGTCCTTATGGTTACGCG